GGGCTGAATTGCACAAAACGCATGATCGCACCGGCTAGTCTGGTGCGCGTTGCCATTTATTCTTTATGCAAAAATTTGCGGTGATTTACGCTAGTGAAGCACATTAAATAAGCGTAAAGCAGCAACCACTTAGTGCTTCAAGTTTGCTGCAAAAAAGCATGAACAAACAGGCAAGTCAGGTGCGTCCCAGGGACTGAAAAGGCAAGCAATAGGCGTCCTGTCAAAAGAGGTGCGGGATCAGCGAGGAACCGAACTCGAGATGGCAGCGCCGTAAATGGGGAGTTTTTCCACTGCGCCATCTATGCAGTGCGGGCCAGTGGCGGAAGCGGAACTCGGGAGCTCCCGTGCACTAAACAGTCACTCTGCCACCAGGCCACCGGGTACTGTGCGAACACTAGCCGGGTTCGAACCTGAGACATCAGCATCGTGGTGCACAAACATCGAGCACCAAGGATTTTGCGCTGGGAGCTCGAACCCGAGACTTCAGGATGGTGTTGCCCAGCTATGCGGCAAAGCCGGGAATCGAACCTGCGTCGCCAGTGTAGTAGGTTGTCATTTTTCCACTGCGCCAACAACGCAGTGTGGGTCAGTCGCAGAAGTCCAACCCCATATGCCTTGCGCGGTAATCTGACATCCTGCCACTGAGCCATCAATGCGGAACTCGCAGACACTGGCAGGGTTCGAACTCGCGACGTCAGCGCGACAAACGGGCATTCTGTCGTTAGGCCAGCGAAAAGCCTGCACCAGGATTCGAACCCGGGATGAGAGTGTGGCAGACCAGTATTTTGCCAAGAAGCTTTCGATGCAGTGTGGACCAGTGGAAGGAATCGAACTCGGGATGCCCACGTGACAGTCGGCTACCTTGCCACTGAGGCATCGACGCACCGTGACTTGTACGTACAAGCGAAGATTTAGGCGGGAAAATCACTAACGCGGAAAGTAGAGCTGTTAGGTGATTTTCAATGAACGATCAATAAATGGGAATTATTCATTTTTTATGCGTTTTTTGTAACTGTGTGGTACAAAAACGCAAGTTTTCGACGAACTGTCTGCATGTGTGTGTGTGTGTGTGTGTTCGTGTGTATGTGTGTGTGGGCGCACGTATGTGTGTGTATGAGTTTCTGTGCATGTTTGTGTGCGCGTCTGTTTTGGCCTACCGAAGCTGCAAGTACAAGGCTGAAACTTTGGCAACTTAATCTACATCGACGTAGAGGTCTTCACCCTTCCACGTGGTTCTCACATACGAGAACGTGATACATTTTTTTAGCGGGAAAGCGATTTCGGGAATGGCGAAAGCTACAAGGCTGGAACTTCATGAAGATATTCCTTACCCATGTCCAACCTTAAGAATTCAAATTCAGCCATCACGCAAAGTTGCTCTCATCCAACCTCAATAATTCATATCCACCCTTCACGCCTGGGGCATGAAGGCTGGATATGAATTATTGAGGTTGGATAAGGGCAACTTCAGAAAAATTACCTCACTGCGATATTCCTAACAATCAGCCCGTGTTCAAAGGCCCCCTCGCATAGCTACAGCTGGGGGTATCCTATTATAGTAACATCATCAATATGGAATACCCACACCGATCATACTCCGGCAATTCTAATATACATGCTATTTCACACAGGTAACCCAGAAATACCACAAGCAGCGCCATAAATGGGTAGTTCTTCCGCTGCGCCATCCATGCGGTGCGGGCCAGTGGCAGAAGTGGAACCCGGAAGCTCCGGTGTACTAAACAGGCACTCTGCCACTAGGCCGCCGGGTACAGTGCGAACACTACCCGGGTTCGAACCTGAGACATCAGCATCGTGGTGCACAAACGTCGGGCACCAAGAATTTTGCGTCGGAAGCCCAAGCCCGAGACTTCAGGATGGTGTTGCCCAGCTATGCGACAGAGCCAGGAATCGAACCTGCGTCGTTAGTGCAGCAGATAATCGTTTTCCCACCGCGCCAACAATGCAGTGTTGGTGAGTCGCAGGAGTCCAACCCCTTACGCCCTGCGCGGTAATCTGGCATCCTGCCACTGAGCCATCGATGCAGAATTCGCAGACTCTGGCACTCGCGACTTCAGTGTGGCAAACCAGTATTCTGCCGCGAAGCTGTCGATACAGCGTGAACCAGTGGCAGGAATCGAACCCAGGGCGCCCACGTGAGAGGTGGCTGTCTTGCCACTGAGGCATCGATGCACCGTGGCATGTACGGACAAGTGAAAATTTGGGCGAGAAAATGATTAACGCGGAGAGCAGAAGTGTTAGGCGATTTTCAATGAACGACCACTGAGTGGGAGTTATTCATTTTTATGCGTTTTTTGTAACTATGCGATGCAAAAAGCA